CATTGGATTCACTAAGATTATATACTATTGATTGATAAGAAAACATTTTTACATGTCCAAGCTGTGGGTAAAGATCACTGAAAAATTCCTAAATAATTTTGGTTATTTTAATGCATTTCAACATTTTATTTTTGGATTGAACGTTCTGTTATAATCTCAAGATATGCTTTCATTGTTCTTGGCAGGAGCGCATCCTACTATTAAAAATATATGAGAAAACCAAATTGTTGGCGAACGTTTTATATTAAGCCAAAATAAATGCATACTTTGACACAGGGTAACGCTCATGTTTGTAGAGGATCAAATCGCAGTAATCTTTTGGTTGTAGATTGCCAAATAACTTTAAAGTTACCAGTGACTACTATGATTCATAGTTAGTTTTGATTACTATAACTTGTGAATAGCCTAACAGTGGTAAGTAAAGTAGAATGATTCATGCTTGACAAGAATATTAAAAACCCAAGATTACAGTTATGGTTTGTCAGGCACCTTAAATGTAAAAATAATTTTACGTCATAAGGCAGTCTTATATACATAAATGGTAGTTTCAATTAACACATATGTTGTTTATTTCCTGCTTTAAAGATCTCTACTTTCCGATAGCTTGCCAGGTACAGGCAATAGTAATAATTTTCTTCTGTCTACGTATAGAAATTTTGGAGAAGAAAAGAATGGGTGCTGCAGATCTCTATCAGTTCTATCTGAGGAAACGATAAATTGTGAAGATACGCAAAATTTGAGCTATCCTATTTACCAAGCGGAAGCACATAACCATTTGCAAATAAATGGGCAGCATCTAAAGCAATCACAACCGCCACAGGATCATGAGCAGTATCAGCATCCACAAGATCATGAACAATATCAGCAGCCACAGGATCATGAGCAGTATCAACAGCCACAGGATCATGAGCAGTATCAGCAGCAACAGGATCATGAGCAGTATCGGCAACAACAGGATCGTGAACAGTATCAACACCTCTGGATTACCAAACAATCTACATTTTTTGATCAAAATACACTCGAAGCTGGGCTAAATAAATGCCACTCTGTCCAGGAAGGAGCGACTAGGAGCAAAGAGTAACTTTATTTTTCCATACGTATTACTTTTATTTGACAAAAAAACAATGTTATGTTATCTAAAATTTATATACTTCATATTAGCACATTGCATTTACATAAGCATATCGTTTGTTCGTGTGCAACAAACAGTGGAATCAGAGGATGTTATTTGATTTTCATTTTGTATCATGACTGATCAAGCTTAGTTTGAACTAGACGATTTATCTATTACTCTATAGGCTTTTTAACGAAACTTGTAAATGAAGGCTTGAATGGTTATCTACCATGTGTTTCCTAGTGTGGAGTACTACCCTTTATTATTTCTTTCAATTTATATCATTTATACTAAATTCAGAAACTAGGTGCTGCAGCAGTCATTATATTAGTGTGAATATATCATTTCCATTACACATGGAAGTAGGACAGTTGTCAATTTAACCTTGCTTTTTCTATAGAATACAATAAATATTTTATATAGTTTGTTCTAGATATGACATATAGATAGTTTTTAGTACACACACATGTCTGGAGTTCATAAAGAAAACTCTTGGTGATGCAAAACTTCATTATGCAAGGCCTTTTCCACACTTACATTTATTAGATTCACTTGCAATGAACAATAGAAATAAAGAATATTAGTTTGGCTCTACAGATGTTGATGTTTTGCAAAATTGATCGAATAAGGTCGGCGCAAAAGAAATAACATTGAACGCATAATAATAACCTATTATGAAGCAGCTTTAATTATTTCCACAAAATTATTGTAAATATAATAATATTTTAAAGAAGGAAAATGAAAATTGATGCTCTAAAGCGCTAATGAAAAAGTCGCATCAAGCTTTGTATAATCGAATATCACAGTAAACAGTTCAAGTGCTGTCAAAATGCTTTCCTATGGAAGGTCAAATGTGTAATTGTGAATTTAAAAGTATAAATTGATATTTGAACATGAGACTAAGAAATATATTTGCATCTTCATTTATAAGAGTACATAAAATATGCTAAAAAATCTGAGAAATCTCTGAGAACAGTACTACATAAACGTAAAAGTCTGTCCCTTTGAAAGCATTAGGTACAAAAGTTAAAGAATAGTAGCCTAGGTAAAAAACACCCTGTTTCGAGGCTCAAAACGTCTTTAAAGGAAATATTTTATACTAATCAAAATAGCTGAATATATTTATTGCGCTTATTCGAAAAGTTTTTCCATGGTTAATTTATTAAACCTGGGTGCTAGTAGCAAAATGTTACGACAAATGAAGTTTACCATGTAATTAATTAGACAAAACACCTTCTACAGGACCTAACCTACATAACTAGTTATACGTTATTGGTAATTTTATAGCATATGAAGATATGACATGTCCTTATTTCAGTTTAAATCTAAAGGCCCAATAACTGTAGGTATTTCTGTAGATTGAGAGACCTTCATAAATAAATTATCATCCGAATTCGTTTAATAATGATTTGCTTTCTAAATACAGTTTATATTATCCTAAAATATATATTTACGGCTTGGCATGTAGTTTTGTTAAGAATTCAACGTAAATATAGCTAAGCATCATTCGATCATAAGCATACAATTGCACAAAAGCCATGTAAATCAATGTTAGATGAATGAACATAAATCAATATTAACACAATTATCATAAGGCCATTTTTGCGCATGCATATTTAAAAATCGGATCCACTTATCAGATTTCGTTATAAAAAACCAAGTCAGTTCTTGAATACCTGTCTCTTCAGCATTT